GAGTTTGTGACCCTGGGTTTCACGCTTTAGCGATCGTCAGACAAACTGATTAATATTTTTAAAAAATTTGAGTTTATGTAGATTGCGTGTATTGGTGTTATTGTGGAAGTGGTGGGGGAAACTTCATCGTATTAACGCAAACATCGATGAGCGCTTTCTCATAAGTAGCGCGCATATAATATATAAATAATTATACATATATATATTTATTTATATTTATATACACTTTTCACACACACACACACACACACACACATATATATATATATATATATATATATATATATAAACCACCCCCTCATTTCTCCAACCCTATCGATAGCGGAGGTAGAGGAGGATCGTAATCCGTGTTATTTTTTTTTTTAACATTTTACATTTTACTCAATTTTCGTAAAATATATTTCTTTCCCAAGGGTCTCTTTCCGATTGATCAGACACGGTCGGGCGGAATCGATTAAGGAACAAACACGATAGGCGACAAACAACAATGGAGACAGGAAATATAAATTTATTAACAAACAGGAAAACATGGAAAAGATAAAATTAAAAAAAAACGGCAAAACAAAAATGACAATATGGCAAGAATACACATTTAAACATTGTGGACAAAATAGTGGGAGGAGAACATCCTTTAAGAAAGGCAAAATAAAAATCAGTGTATGGCCTTGTGCAATACTTCCACGAATTTACAGAACGTGTGTTATACTTGCACGAATTTACAAAACATCAAAATTTTAAGACAAGTGGAAAGAAACATGTAATAAAAAGATCTCAAGCTAAATTTGCATGTAAGTACAAACATGAAAAAGAGGTACATTTCAAAAACGAAGCCCCCCAAAAAACCCCAACAAAATTTGTTCATGGGCTTGGTGACGGTTGAAACTGCTTTCTTTCTCCTTCCCCTCCTTCATCTCGGCGTGATATCCTTCGAGATATTTTCTTCCTCTCTTTCCTTTCCCCATAAGTATCTCCCTTTGAGATCTTTCCTCACTTTCTTCTTTTCTTTTTCTATAAGCTGTCTTCAGTCTCTTTTTCACCCCGATATAGCGGCATTCTGCATACGTCGTCAAATGGGTTCATCTATTCCACTCGGAGAGGAATTCTCGCATCCGCGCGAACAAATCTTTTTCGGCCCATATGCCGAGACAAGTTTCGCATCAGGACAAATTTTGCGAGCACGTCTTATCGGCTCGCAGGCCTAGACGAAGACTAAATTTTCCGTTTCACTATTCATTTCCGTTTTCTTCTTGTCACATGGTCAATTTTCAAATATAAACTTTTTCCCATTATGGGTGGAATGAGGTCATCGACCCTCTCCCTCATCTTCAGGGTCAGAGAAAGTTTAGTTTAAAGTGTTTCAACTTCTTCTATTTGGAATCTATCCATGTAAATCATGCTTTCAACACGCTGACCAAAAGAGAAGTAAAGGTTACATTCTGCTCAATCCTTGTCACCATTAAGTCTACCTATCTCTTTGCGTTTACGATCTTTATTCTTTACGTCTCTGTAAGTACTGGGCTCTTTATTTTAGAATGCTTCTAAAATATATGGTATAGTTTTTATAATAAATTTAGATAAGGGTTCTTATATATATATATATATATATATATATATATATATATATATATATATATATATATATATATTATATAAATATAGTTTTAAGGTGTGCTATATTTATGGGATAAAGTGCTCACTATTAGATAGAGCGTATCTAAATATAAATATAAGAGAAGATTGAAGTCAACACTCAGACGTGACACCATTAAACAGCCGCTAGCATTAAACAGCCTGTCGGCTCTGAGTGTTGACTTCAATGTTCACTTATATATATATATATATATATATATATATATATATATATATATATAAAGAAAGAATGAAGATTTAAAATGACTGTGGTCAAGCAATACTAACGAAAACCCAGTGTTAATACTAAAACTCAATCGAGAAAGCTCTTCCTTTGTGGATAACACAGACACACACACACACACACACACATACCCCCCCACACACACACATTATCTTACTATGTGTTCTCTTTCAGTCTGTGCCTATCTATTTATCTATCTATATATGTCTTTTGGAGAAATATCATACTGTGGATGACACACACACACATACACACACACACATATGCTATGTGGAAAAATTTGAAAGAAGTAATAATAGACAGTACATTTATAACTTCAAAATGGACATTTTGTCGTGTTGTAACGGTTAGGAAGCATGCCTCGTTAGATTACGTAATAGTGAGTTCGATTCTCACTGGGTGGCCAATATTTTCGGCTTTGCGCCACATCTAATATACTCTTAGAAAATAACCATATATGACTTCAAATAATAGTAATAATAAACGAAATAAAATTTTATTTTATTTTATTTTATCTATTTCATTTTATATGTAACATCATATAATAATTGTGCCTGTCCCCACACCTTCGTTAGTTTACACGACCGTTACACCCCGCCAATACCTATTAAATAATAGACTATTCCGTTTTGATTGTGTGGAACGATGGAAAATACGCTGATTAATTTCAGTGAGAAAATGAAAGAGAGAAAAAAAGAAAGATTGACAGAAGGGAAGATAGAAGAGTTAATTGTTAAAAGTCACACACTCTTCATATATATTTATGTTTGTGTGAGCTGCAATCCGTGAACGTGCATATGACCATTTGTATTTATTTTCCGCTTTGCTTTTGTGTAAAAAAGACGTTAACATAATCGAATGTATGCGGTCAGAGTTGAAAACTCGTGTGTATAACAGAATGGTAATGTCTGCGTACGTATGAGTGGTGTTCCGAGGAGAATTTGTCCTCCCACTACCATAAAAAACACTGATATACGCAAGCATAAATAAATCCAAAATTTTAAAAATGAATCAGTTTGTTTGACGATCGCAGGGAGCGTGAAACCCAGGGTCACGAACTCACATCAATCCAACTAAATATGTTAGTTCTATCACTGATATTGAACGCTTTCCAATAAGTACCGCATATAAGTATATACAAATAATACATATAAAAAATTGCATATATATTTATATTTATAATTTTATAGATACGCATTTTACACACAAACACACACACTCTCTCTCTCTATCTCTCTCTCTCTCTCTCTCTCTCTCACACACACACACACATATATATATTTATATGGTGGCCTGATGATTGCGTCTAGCCTGAAACAGTTTATCGCCTCTGAGTGTTGACCATGGTCTTTTAAGTGTTCGTTTTCATTATAATAATTATTATTTGCTCTGTTTTTGACATTGAGCTCTCTGTAATATGGATTACTAAATATTATAATTATTAATTATATATATATATATATATATACGAGCGTAAGACAAAAATTATCCGCATATTCGCTAGAATATATCTTTAGGTTAGTCATGCTGCTTTCTGCTCATGCGTGCTTATAGTTGGCCCTGTTGTGGTTCCGTCATCGATGGTTTTGATGGAAGAAAGAAAAAGAAAAATACAGAATATTATTTTCAAAAGGAATGGTATAGAAAAGTGAAAACGGACAAAAGAAAAGAGGAAAAACCAAACAACCAATATACAGATATACACTATTTGACATTTAGCACACACATACACACACACATATATATATATATATATATATATATATATATATATATATATATATATATAAGAGATGATAAAAACATGTTGAAATCACTACACAAAAGCTTTCATGTTTCAATACTTTGTTTATATTTCTTCAGGCGATGGTAGGTAACTGGTGATTAAATGATTTTTAAGAAAATTTAAAAAAAATTGTTACCTCTTTTCCGAAAGTTAAAGCCGGGGTCATAAGGTCAGAATTAAAATTAGACTTGTGTGTTTGTCTTGATTAACCAGTTAAATGTCAATTCTACGCTAAATAGAAAAGTAAGCTTCAATAATAATAATCATAATAATAATAATGTCATGAACAGTGGATTTTTACTTCATCTGTTCTTTCTCTCATTTCGACACACACATACACACATATATATGTGTTTGTGTGTGTGCGTGTGTGTTTGTGCGTGTGTGTGCGTGCATATGCGCGCGCGTGTGCCTGTGTGTGTGTTTATGTGTGTGTGTATACAAAATGTGCACAAAACGTTTCCGGACTGTTGCTACGGTAACGGTGCTATAGAACGTACAGTAAAACCGATGCTCACCTCAGAGTGACCTTTAACTTTGTTGCGCATACACACTAAGTTATAACGTTGTCACTTACTTCCGTTGTTTATAGCATAGTACTTGGAAGGTAAGTGAATATTATTTATATATTTAAATGTCATTAAAGCTACAGACAGTATTTAGTATGATCTCCTTCCTGTCACGAACTCCAACCACATACCGATGTGCAAAATTTCATCAGCATTGATCTTGATAGGAAACCTACAATTCTTACACGTCGTCAGCTTTCTGTTATACACACGTGTTTTCAACTTTTACCGCATACTTTCGATTATGTTAACATCTTTGTTACACAAAGGTAAAACTGAAAATAAATACAAAATACGAGAAGATATAATCAATGCACAAAAGAAGAGCACAACAGGATTAAATAATATCTAGGCATGAAGATATAGTAAAAGTATACACAAGGCAATATCATAAATACATACACAAGTCAATGGAATACACACTGAAGCTCTACAGAAGGTAATGTAAATATATATGAACTAGACAATATAATATATTATAGCATAGTGTTGAATGGAGTATTGCAATAAATAATATAATTGGTCTGTGATAATTTCGCGATTTTATGATAAATTTAGTATAACTGTTTAGCAGGCCCACCTTTCTGCGAATTCAAAATATACAGTAATGAAAAAGCAAGTATAATAATCAAAATATAATTCCATTAACTAATTGTTCCAATATTAATAATTGCATATCTTGATCACATTTAAGTTCTTTGAATCGGTCGCATTTGCGCTCTCTTCGATCTACCAGCGGAATGGAGCATGAATAGTGCGTCCATGGTGTCTCCTACGATTGGCTATGCGAAGTATGTTCTATACAAATCACGGTTATCTTCCACGTCTTGGCCCGAGTGGCTCGGCCTCCACGCGTCTTCGTCTTATCAAGCGCTATTGGAAACGAGATGTCGCAGGATTCTTTGCCGCTCCTTCGTCTCTTGTTTGCAAACCGCGTACTTCGCCAGCAGGATAATGCTACTCCATTCGTTGCCGTTGTAAGTGAATGCTGGCCAGTTTCTTCACAGACAGAGATAGGGTTTGAAGGAAGACTATGGAAAATACCATAGACGGTATATATGAGCAACAAGATGTAATTGAATCAGCAACAAAGCAAAGGTAGACTTGCAATAAAAACAATCGACAGGTGAAATTTTCGATACAATTCATGAGAAAGGTGGCTTTGAGAATTTCATACTCACAGAACAAAATGACGGTAAAAGTAGCCGAAGGAAACCGCAAGTAATCTACTCAATGAATTTGTGCAAACGGGGCCATGATGGATGTTAAGGAAACAAATGTTACTTCGAGCGGAAAACTCTGGAGAGCCATGGTACAAGAAGAAGAAGAAGAAGAAGAAGAAGAAGAAGTAAAGCCTTGATTACCTACGCCCCAAAACAAAGCGGCACATAGAAGAAGAAGAAGAAGAAGAAGAAGAAGAAGAAGAAGAAGAAGAAGAAGAAGAAGAAAAGAAAAGCCATAATCGTCTACGCCCCGAAAAGAAAGTAGTACAAAACAGAAGCGAAGGAGGAGGAGGAAAAGTTGAAGTTGGGGAGAGGAGTCGAAGAAGAGGAGGAGGGGAGAAGAGAAGAAGAAGAAGAAGAAGAAGAAAAAGAAGAAGAAGAAGAAGAAGAAGAAGAAAGGAAGGAAGGAAGGAAGGGCAGGAGGAGATTGCAACGTTTTTTTTTTTAAATTTCCAACAGCATTTTCAGATCTGTTCAACTTGTAATCTTTGCTTCTGATTGTGTGGTATCGACTTCTCCCTACCATTTTGTTAATCTTTGTTCGTGATCAGTGTTTTTCTTCGCCTCTCGTTGTCTTTCGCGCTCATTTATAGGACTTAAAAAACAAAACAAAATAAAACAAAAGAAGCTGACGTGTGAAGAGTCCTCTTTATTGTTCTATCACAAAAACTGAGTAAACACTGCCACGATTTTGGTTAATTTAATTTTCACACGCCCTAAAGCCAGAAGTTTTATTTTTCTTTTCTACGGCAAAACAAATACACGGAAGGTGTTTACTTTACGTCTCACAGTGTGTACATTTGTGGATCTATAGAGTAACTCAACAAAAAGGAAAGGTAGAAATGAAGAAATCGAAAGAAATCAACTCTGCATACAAACAAACGTCGACTTTCTTTTCCGCCATATTCAAGTATAAGAGCGAGAGATGGAGAAAGGATCAAAATGAATGGCGACAAGTCAGTGAATTTCCTTATTTTATGTTTTGACTTTATTTTATGTTTATTAATTTAAATATTTTTAAAAATTATTTTTCTTTTTGTCGTTTATTTTTTAATTTATATTATTAATTATATCCTTTTTTTATTATTCAATTTTAATTTTATAATTAATGTATTTATTTATATATTCGCATAATAACATTAATGAATGTGTATTGTACTAATCCGGGCAGACGACTACAATATGGGAACCAGTAATAAGGATTGCCAGAGAAAATCAATAACAACAAACATTGCAATATGAGCTCTGGTTAAAAATATAAATGATAACAGCAAAAATTGCAATATGAGCACTGGTAAAAAAATGGTTGCTGAATACAATAACAGAAATCCCAGAAATTCATACAGAGATGTCCTTAAGGACACATGGCACAGCGCATAAAGGCGTTGGTTAAATTCAATACCTGGTTAAGGCAGTGGAGAACTTTGAGAGGTGAATTAACATATAACTGGTAACTGACATGGCACGTGGAACTAGAACAGTCTACCCAAGCGAGCGAAATAAAGTTCGACATTCCAATCACCTGAATAAGGCTGGAGCGTACATCGGCCGAAACTTTGTGATAAATATGGCAACAAAAATGAGGACAACAGTCCGAATAATGTAAATAATGTAAATAGAATTTGGTCCTGTTCAGGTTTAGATTTCCAAAATAGAAAGACTCAAAGTTTTTAAGAAGATTATCAGTAGTCAATTAATCAGCGTAGCAAAAATCGGAAGTATTTTTGGTATGCAAACAAGAAATTGCCGGCATTTGACCTTCACCACAATGTCACATTTTTTTTTCATTTCACTGAATTTTTTCCCATAAAACTGAAACACGTGGAGTTTTAAAAAAAAAGGTCAGTCTAAGGAGGAGTACGTAAAAACCTGCTGTGTAACCCGAGGGGGTACTTTGTTGTCTAAAGTTATAGGTAAACTGACCGAAATACATTGCAATCACTTTATATGAGCAGCTCACGGACGTAGTAGGAAGCAAAATATCTGTGATTTCAAATGAGAAAAATCTAGTAAAAATGTATTTTATTTTTATGTTTTCTCTCGTGTGTGATTTATTTTTAAACTAGAAAGTTAAAGGTAAGACATTTTTTCAACACAAATTATAAACACTGTAAAGTGCCAATATTAGATGGTTTTTCCTAAAATAAACCATTGTTTTAATTTTTTAACAATAACACAATATTTAAATGTATATCTATATTTTGTATAGCTCTCTGCAGTCAAAATTAAATTATTGATAACAAAAATAAAAGAACAAAGGGGAAATACTGCATTTTGCAAATCATTAACATTTGAATTCAGTGTAAACAAAATTGTTGTGTGATTTTTATAAATCGTCATTATTATTATTATTATTATTATTATTATTATTATTATTATTATTATTTTCTTTGATTTCTGGCGTTTACACATTTCTTTCCGAAATGGCATCATGACACTTTCCACTGACAAAAAAAAAAAAAAAAAAAAAATACATAGATAAAGCCCTTCGTAAAGTGTGGGCTGTACTTGTCAGAATAATTTTTTGTATCTCCTTAAGGCATGGATTTCCAGGAATCCCTTCAATTAGTCTACTGCAATCTTTTCCAACCAGTCCTAGGGCTCCAACTACAACAGGGTTTGTTGATGTTCCCATATGCCACATTTTCGAGATTTCTATTTCAAGGTCCTTGTATTTTGACAACTTTTTGAATATCTTCAAAGATACATTGCAGTCAGCAGGGACTGCCATATCAATAAGAAAGCACTTTTTTTGTTTGTGGTCTTTAATAACAATGTCTGGGTGGTTGGCTTTGATTGTTCTGTCAGTGTGTATTGTTTAGTCCCATAGAATTGTAACAGGTCCTATCTCCGTAACCGGGTCTGGGTGGTGTTCATACCATTTTCTTTCAATTTCCTTCCCGTAGAAATTGCAGATTTTCCAGTGCAGATATTGGCCCACTCTGTCATGCCGGATTTTATATTCTGTGGGTGCCAATTCGTGCACCTGATACAAGATGATGAATCGTTTCTGGATATTTATTACAGAATCTGCATTTTGGGCTGACATAATATTTTAGTATACGTGCTTGATAATTTCTAGTTAGCAAGCATTGGTCCTGTGCAGCAAGGATGAAACCTTCAGTTTCAGCTTTCAACCCTGCACTACGTAGCCACTGATGGGTACGGATTTTGTCTACATCAGCTTGTTTGGTACGGGCAGAGTATTGGCCATGAAGCTGTTTATCTTGCCATCGCTTCTGTATCTGGTCGGTTGCATTCGTCTTTGCTGTCTTTTTTAAGTATTTTGCAGTTTCAGCCGGTGTATTGTGCTGTAGTTGCATCTCTACGCCCATTTGGAATTCCATTTTGAATTTGTTGGCTTCTTTTATTACGAAGTAAAGACACTTACTACTTTCATGTTCCTTGACGCATACCATCATTCAGTCTTCTGTAGTTTCCAAGTATCTTTGGAGGCCAATTGTTGTATCTTTGTAGGACAGTTCTAGTTGAACTAATCCTCTGTCTCCTTTGGATCTGGGCACATACAGACGATCAAGATCAGCTTTGGGATGATGCATGCGGTAGCAAGTGAGAAGCTTTCTCGTTTTGGCGTCCATTCGCTTAATTTCAGCTATGGTCCAGTTAAGGACATTAAAGCTGTATTGCACCACAGGGACAGCCAATGTGTTTATGGCTGATATCCTGTTTTTTGAGTTTAGCTCAGTATTTAGTACCAGACGTACACGCCTGTAGTACTCTTTTCTTATTTTTGTCTTCATTTGGGGGGGGTTGTATGACATCTCCTTCGCTAATTCCTAAGTACTTATAAGCTTCATCATGCTCCAGTTCCCTAATCTTTGTGACAAAATCTAAATCTATTAAAGGTGTTTCTGTAATTCTACCTTTCTTGAAAGTTACTTTTGCACATTTATCTAATCCGAAGTCTATACGTATGTCGTCACTGAAGTATTTTACAATATTGAGGAGGCCTTTCAACACATTGTCGTCTTTGGCAAAGAGTTTGAGATCATCCATGTAGAGTAGGTGATTGACTATTTTCTTATTTATTTTGTAACCATAGTTACTTTTGTTCAGCTCATGTGTAAGAGGGATTAAGGATAAACAAAACAGTAGGGGTGACAGAGAGTCTCCTTGAAAGATTCCACGTCGGATATTCAGACGGTTGCATATGGCAGTGCCACCGGTGTGACTACGGTATAGTTTGGTGTTCCACATTCCCTTGCTGTGCTTAAGGAAATTTAATACCACAGGGGACACTTTGTACAATTCCAAAGTCTTAAGGATCCAAGAATGTGGAACACTATGAAAGGCTTTACGATAATCAATCCACGCTGCACTAAGATTTCTACGTCGTCTCCTGCAATTTTCCAGGATCATTTTATTTATCAGCAGTTGATCTTTGCAGCCATATGAACCTCTTCTGCATCCCTTTTGTTCCAGCAGAAGAATGCTGTTTGTTTCGAAATATTATTATTAATATTATGTACCGTATATTTTTTCAAATTACAATACCATCTTATTAATTGATAAAAATCTTTATCGACTTCTTTAAACTGTAACTTATCTTTCTTTTTCTGTACCCTATCCCTAGTAGCTCTCAGTAAATTTCGTTCCTCTGTCACCTCCTTCAGACCTGTACTGCCATGCACTTGCTCAAGTCCGCTAGGTATGTCATGCGTTGTTTTCCCTTGTCTCCCTTTCCCTCTATTCGACCTGTTAGTATCAGATTTTCTAAGCCCTCCTTTCTCTTTACGTGTCCCAGAAACTTCAGCTGCATCTTCCTGATGTTAAGTATAAACTTCCTCCTTGTTTGCAACCTCTCTGAGACCTCATCGTTGATCACATGGTCGGTCCAAGATATCCTCAATATCCTTCTGTAGAACCACATCTCCGTCGCCTCGAGTCTCTTCTTCATCTTAGAGAAGACCGTCCAACATTCGCTGCCGTAAAGGAGGCCAGATATCACGTAACAGTTCAGTATTCTTTTCTTTGTTACCACAGAAATCCTCCTGTCTTGCAATACTCTGCTCAGCTTTTGAAATGCGTCATCCCAATACGTCTCCGGATCTCAGCGTCGGACTTGCCGACCTTTGTCAAAATACTTCCCAAATATTTAAACTTTCGCACCTGCTTGATTTTAGTGTCGCCGACCGACAAATCACATTTTGGTCTCATCCTTTTACTGATGGCCATGCATTCTGTCTTCTGCTAGTTTATGCTTAGTCCCTTCTTCTCGCTCTCCTTCGCTACTTTCTGTAGGAGATTTTGTAATTTCTTTTCTCTGTTTGCTATCATTATTTTGTCATCTGCGTTTCTTATGTTGTTAAGATTGTGAATTTAGTCTATAAAAATATGTATTCATATTTTATAATTGTGAAGCATTATTACTGCACCTCACAGAACATTTTAAACGTTTATTTTTAGTGTAAATAAATTGTTTGTTTATTAAAAAGATATTAAATGTTTAATTTTATTAAAAATAGGAGGCTGAAACTTAATATTTTCGATTTTTCTTTTCAACTT